TATTTACAATGCAGTCCCACGCAGGTCAGGTCAGGAGCAAGTCCCACTGTGTTCAATGAGGCTCTTTCCCAGGAAAATGTTAAGGGTTGCAGCCATTGGGTTTTTCAGCCAAGAAAGTTACCTTCGGATAGTAACTATTCAAGATCGGTTCTACCTGTAGCTATCAGTATTATCCTCTAGAATAATTTGTACAACAAATCAGGTGAACTGGTTATCACCTACCTGCACTCCCCCCCGCCCACACGACAAACAAAGCGCACACCATATTGAGGATAGCTAGTTCATTCTCATACATATTAATAAGCACTAATCTTCTACAAATGGTTCGTGTTGGGTTTTTTAGAGTAAAGTTTTAATAGGAAAAAAACTTTCTAAACACCCAGGGAGCAAAGTAAAGAGGAATCATCATCATCGCCACTACCACCACCATCATCTTTTTTTTAAACCGAATTAACTGCTTGCTAGCAGAAGAAATGAAAGAGGACCAGGCAAAAAGTAGCGGCCGCAGCATCAAAGTGAGACACTTTCCTTTGGAGTCCCAATGAAATATGGTAACAGAATGTGAGGGGGGCACACTGTTTCTTTAACTGCTTCTCAAAGGATCCGGGAGATCTTCTTAGGACCTTTAATAAGGCTTTGGGGCGCTTCTTTTGTTGATCTCTCAAAATCAACTCCTTCTAATTGAAGTTGGAGCTGAAAGCGAGCTAATGTTCAAAGGGAGTGACCGCCAGCCCGGCGAAATTACATTTTTTTTCGTTGAGGGGACATCTAATCAAAAGGGGGGTGCGAAGGAGAGAGGGGTGGGAGGAGGTTTACAAGGTTGCTCTGCAGCCCACAGAAGTCAGCGGCACGGGCACTTCTGCACAGAACAAAGCCGCCGGAGACCATTCACAAAAAGTGGAGAGATGGGAGAGGCAAGAAAAAGGGGTTCTCCCCGTGGCCGGTACCTTGGCCGAAGTATAAGCAGGGGCGAAGAGCCCCGAGGCGCTTGAAACATTGTCCATTTGGAGGACAATTATTCATGTGGGATCCGAGCTTTGTGAGGGTCCTTTTCTTCTTTAGTTCCAGTCTCCGAAAAAGCCGCTTCCCTGCTCCTCCGCACATCCCCCCGAGAGAGAGGAGGAATCTTAGCCAGAGCAGTGATCATGTTTCTGCTCCCGCCGCACATCTGACCACCAAGACTCGGAGCTAGCCGTTTTCACGCCCCCCCCCCCGCCCCGTATCCTCCGCAAGGGACCACTGGAGTGGAGGGGAGGGGGCCGTGCGCCTATGTGGGGTGATCCTGGGGTTGAGCGGGGAAGGCCGATTCTGCCGGAAGGTGTTTCCTCGGCCTTCTCAGAGCCTGGCATGCGCCTGAACTCTTCGTCTCAAGCTCCAAATGATGCGATCAAGTCGAGAGAAAAGCTCAGAGTATCAAGTAGCACTAAACCCCTACGCTTTACTCTCTCTCTCTCTCTCTCGTTCTCTCTGTGTGTGTTTTGTTTTGGTTTTTTTTTTCCTCCCCCTGTAATAAGAGTATTTGTCTAATCCCAAATTGCAAGCGAATTTCCTTAATGCTCAGCCCATAAAACCCATGGATTAAGGGCAGGAAAGGGGGGCACGAGCAAGACTGAGCCAGAGAGAAAGGGTGAGGCGAGAGACTCAGACACAGAAAAGTTTGGCGCGAGGGAAAAGCGCTGATGCTCTGGGTCTCCTTCTGTGAAAGTTGGGGGCGATGAGGGGTCCGTGAAGAGCAGCGGAGCGGGAGGGCGCCGCGGGGGCTCTCTTAGGCAGGTGTGTGGGGAGAGTTCATGGCCTCAGAGGGCTGCTTTCCCCTTTCTCGGGGGGCCCGGTTGGAAAGGACTTCTCCAGGCACTGCACAGCTCTCCCTCGTCGCCTTGTCAGCCCCTTTTGGAACCAGCCGCCCTTGCGCAGTGGCTCCCATTCAGGTGGTAGCAACTTGGGCAAGCGCAGGTAAGGTAAGGAGCAGCGGGACTTTGTCTTCCGCCTTTGCGCTTCCTCAGAGGCAGTCGCGGGAGCTGATTCCGGAGCCGGGCGTGCGGGGTGGGGGGGGGGGAGACGGGAAAGACGGGGCGTGCGTGCGAGGTCGCGGTCGCGCCCGTGCTAGGGGCGTGCGTGCGTGCGCGCGGGCGGGCGGGTGCGTGCACGGGGAAGGTCGTGCCTTCGCGGGAGAGCGGTGAGGCGCCCCTGGCCCAAGCGACCGGCAAGGGGGCGAGCGAGGTCTCGCGCGCCTCCCGCGCCTGCCCGCAGAGACCTCGGCCAGAGCTTCCTTTGCCCGCAGCTGCCCACGCTCCAGACAGGTCGTTTGCCTCGCTTGGTTCTTGTTTTGTCTTGAGAAGCGCCCCATAGAGCAAGGGGCTCCCTTGCTCGGAGAAAATACCTAATGTAGCCCCCCAGTCCAGCCAACGATTTTATCGTCCTTTAAAGAAGAATAGCAAGGGAGATGACCTTTCCTTTCAACTAAACTCTCTGGCGAAGGCTACATTCGATATTTCCCCTTCTTCACAGGATACGTTGCTCATGTTGGCGCTCTTCTAACCCCACTTTACTAGGAAGGGAAACGCAAAACATCCGCCCTGTTTCTCCTCGGGTGCAACAGCTACTCAGACACCTATCCTGCCCAGCGGCTTAAGACAACTCGCCCCCCCCCCCTTCCTCGACAGGCGGTGTGCTCAAGCGCGCCAGAGCCGATTCTTGGGCCCGTTCATTTGGATGGATCCATCGCTTCACATCGGGCGTTGAGGTTAACTGAGGTGAAGCTCCGGCTAGCTCTCTTGGAACTACTTTCGCAAAGGGCACTTAGGGTCAGGGCGTTACATCTAGGTGCGTTGCTTCCCGCTGACGAGTGCGGCTGCGGGGGCTACGTGCCTCCTTCAGTCCTCCTCACTTCTCTCCCACTTTATTTCGAAAGTCTCCCAACTGCTCGCTTTTGCAAACGCCCCACAGGAGCAGCCAAAAGCGCTGCCTCTTCAGGCGCGGGAGCGGCGTTTAGGAAAGGTCAGCCGAGAACCGCGTCTCTCTCCCCCTCTCAGGCGGCCCTTTCCCTTTCTTGCGTGGTGCGAGGGAGGAGGGAAGATGATGCGGTGCGCGGGGCGGGGGAAAGAAGGCCCGCCAAGGAGAGCCCCCTCCATTTCCGCCGTGCCCAGCGAAGCCTCGCTAACAAGGCAGGCTTGGCCAGGGCCCGCTTGCGCCCAGCCGGGCAGGCATCCTCTCCCGCAGCCCTCTCCGCGCCTGAGCGCAGCCCAACTTTCACTTTCGCCTTCCTCCGCGAGAAAGCGGGAGAAATCCGTCCAGCCACCCGCGATGCCTGTCGCGAAATCCCCGCGTTGGGCGAGTCCGCCCAGGTAGTCGCGGGGTGCTGCTGGCAGCGGAGCGCTTCCCCTGGGAGCCCAGCCGCGGCGGGGGACGGCCCCTCGGGGCCGAGGTCCCGGCGCGTATGGGACTTCCCGGGCCCGCCGCGCCGAGCGCGCCCCGGGCTCCCCGAGCGGGGGGCACCGCCGCGCCGAGACCTCCGGATGGCGGAGGCGGACGGGTCGGGGCTGGGAATGCCGAGAGAAACAAAGAGGGGTTTGGAAGGTAAACAGCTTGCTGGCCGCAAATTAATACATTCTGCTCTGACTCTCAGAAACCAACCGAGCGAATTAGCCTGCAGTCCAACAAAGAAGGCAGAAGTCGTCTGTCTCTCTTCCTCGCCCCAAATTAACAGCGGCTTTTAAATGCAGACGGTGGAATTTGTCAGCTTTGCAGGGTGGCGAAGAAAATTCTTGACGGGGGCGGGTGGGAAAGAGAAGGTCGTGTGTAGTGCGGGGGGTGAAAAGGGGAGGAGAAAAAGGGACGAGGGAGGGTGAGAGAACAGAGGGAGAGATTCTGGCCCGAATTTCATCCAGTAATCGACGAAGATAAGAGGTTTAATTCATTTAGCATATGAACGCCCTCAGAAAGCGATTCCCATTATGGATACATCCAAAGGCGCAAGGCGCGGGTCCCTCGTATTTACACTGGCACTTGTTATCATTTTAACCGGATTATTCACGAGGTGGATTTTGTAACATATCAGGGATTCGCCTTGCACCACTTTCTGTTCTGCCTCCCTCCCTGTACAAGCCCCCGCGCTGGATCCGCGAAGCTCCGTCTGTCTGTCTCTCCTCCCCACCCCCCCCTTGCGTTTTGCATCGGTTGATCACCTGGGTGAGCGAGCTTATTGAGGGACGGGGATTGTGCGAGATTCGTAGCGCTGGCTTCTGCTGCGCTAGAAACTTTTCGCGCAGCAAACAAGCCTTTTAACATCTTCCTAAAGGATAGCATAATTAGTGCAATTTTCTTTTACTTCAGCTAAGATTCAGGCAGACAAATTGCTTTGTCTTATTTAAAATTTTCTTAAAACTTGTTGAAGCAGGCGGATACTGGGCTGCTGGTGGAATCTTAAAAAGAGGAAATTGTTTATAGCCACTTAAGACTGTAATTCTATATACACTGACATGGAAGGAAGCCTTATAGTACTCAGTGGGGCTTAATGAATTAAAAAAGGCTGTGATGTGCCTGTATGCATACAAGCACTCTGATGTACACACCCAATTCCTTGGGTAAGCCTCTGTCCATATTAACAATGTCCATCTTCTGACAAGATTTTCTAGGAAGTTTACCCTAATGAATTCAGTGGGATTTAGTGTAACATGAAGAGGACTGTATCTTTCATCATGTTAAAAAGTTATTTGAACTTGCACAAACTGATTGACAACAAATTAGTGGTAGCTGTTTGAAGGCAGTGAAATGTCAAATCTTTGTATGAAATTGCCTTTAAAATTCCTATAAGCATTAGCACAGCACATATTAGAGCTAGGAAACATTTTAAAAATGAGTTCTCTCCCAGTGTGATCCTGCTTTTCACACACAATTACTTTGTTGAAAGTAGATTTATTTAGGTTTTTTTTAAAAAAATAGGTGTTACTCCTTGCTGACACAAAAATACAGATTGTATTAATCACCAAAACGTTCCTGAGGACTTTATTTTATTTTATTTGGTAAGAACAGCAGACAAGCACAGTTAAGGTAAGAAAGATCCAGCTTTATTGAAAATTTATACATAACTCAGCATTGCAATAAATAAACATAACAGTTTCCACAAAAATGAGCAGGGTGATAGAGTAGGATATATTAACTTGCAAGAGGATTTTGCAAACAATGGCAGGACAGACCCCTGATGGATACACAATAAATATTAACAGCACTGTGGAGCCAGAATGCAGAGGTTTGACAAGAGGAGAAGGGAACTATGCTAAGAAGTAAATAAATAATTAATAAAAATGGGACAGCCTTTAAAGAATGTTCTTGTAAACCGATCACACTTCAGTTAGCCTTATCATTACAATCACTTCTTTAGCTCACAAGGCTTTTTGCAAGGTATAGATTAAAAGAACTGCTCTCTGAACACATCAGAAAGCTGTACATTTTATATTTATACTTACAATAAAAGTGTAAAACTGTTGCTGAAATAAACACTGGTAAATATAGAGCATTATAATAAATGGTTTGAGTATGATCTAACAATAAAATTTTAGTATTTTAAATATTACACATGGCAAGACTAGATGAAATAATTCATAATGAATTTTTCTCCTTCCTTCTCCCTCTGTAGTGCTATTACATAAAAGAATGTATTTGCAAGTAAATGACAAAAACGTTATGCCAGGATATTCTACCCACCCCCTTTTAACAACCCTGGTGTTGCTACAATATTTAGGTGCAAATTTATTTTAAATAATTATGTCTAAATCCTAGTGAAAAGCTAGTTTTGAAATAATATTGCTTGAAGGGAAAGAACAAGAAAGTTTTTAAAAAATCAGGGCAAAGCTGGAAAGGTTTGTTGTTTTCCTATAATGTATTACTGGGGTTCTCTTTTTCTAGTGTTGGTATCAGTATTTCCAAAACATAAGAAGGCTTAGGCTTCAAAATGGGAGAGTGTACTATCCCATGAAATCTGGTCACTGAAGAACACATTTTTCTTCTTTCTTGGCCATCTTTCCTTTGTTTTGTTCAAGAGTCCTTTCCAAATGCTCATCTTCTTCTTCAGCTCTGGAAAAAAAAACAAAAAACAAAATTGGCAACTGTTATCCTAATGAAGTTCTGCTCTGCACCTCAATGTGAAAGCTTTTGCAGAGCACCCTTCAGGAATTCAGGCCCCTCAAGCAAGGGACCAGGGCATGCCATCTCATTGGAAGGACAAGAAATGGTAGGACAATGACTACTGGAACCCAGCATTGTATGAAATCTCTACAAATTTAGTGGATTCAGCATTGACTTATTGAACTTCCCACAAAGTTTTTCTTCCAAAATATTAGATCAAACAATGCTATGGTGCAGGAAAAGCACACATTTATTATTGGTACTGGCCAAGATACCATACTTACTGTTTTTCTTGGGCATCTAAATCTCTGACCAGCGCATCACGTTTATTAACAAGAATAACAAGTTCATCCAGCAAAAGCTGCTCTCGCCTCTTCTGGGCTTCGGTCTTTTGCCAGTCTGAAAAGAAAAGAAATCCAGAACTGTGTGTCTTGAAAGCTTAATTCACATATGATCTAACCAAATCAGTGTCAGATCTTTGGCCTTCTCAATAGAGCTTCTTCCTTTGTATGGGCTGAAGGATTATTTCACATTCCTATGGATTTGCATAACTTTAAGCCATCAAGACTCTCTGACTTCTTCAGGTTACTGCTTGATAAATGCATTTTTACAAATATGACAAGAAAACACCTAAATTTGATTTTAGAGTAATATTCAAACACATACCCAATCCCAAATTATTGTATAAACATGGGCTTGTGTAGAACGGGATAAATTGTTTTGAAATAAGTAGTATAGAATGAGTTGCATATATGTACCCAATTCTTATTTTAGATTTTCTAGGTATTCCCTTACTGTGTGTATGGGGCAAGAGGTTTTGTTTTCAAACAGGATAAATTACAGAGCGAAAATCACAAAAAAAGTACAAAACACCTTTTCTTAATCTCACTGTAACCTCCTCTCCCCTCCAAATAGCTGATTCTTTGCTGCTTTTTTTCTTGCTATATCTTAGCAGTTGGAAATGTCTCACACTGGGCACCAGATGCTTCACAATAACTTTAAAAGTGGATATCAGATAATTAGCGTTTTTCTTTGTGATAAAAATACATCTGCTAGACAATATTACACAGTTTCCTCCATAGTAGTACAGACAGTTTGGTAGCTTGTGTAATAGTTGAATTTTAAGGCCCAGGGAATGATTTCAAATTTGTTCATTGAACTAACAAAGAAAAAAAGAGGGGGGGGCACAAATCTGTACCCATTGTTTTCACTGCCCAGATACTGCTTTAATTTCTTATTCTGAGATATCAAAGAAGAAAAGAGTTTTTCTGATACCAATGCAGATCTGTCCTTTTGCTGATGCATTGTGCGCCACTTGTTATAAGGTAAACAGTATCAATATTTCATTGAAGAGGGCCATTTTAACACTGGAGCACTCCAAGCTCCCAACCAACTGCTATCCAGGCCAGACTGCAAGGGCCTGCATCTGTCAGTCAACCACCAGTCTGCCCCACCTCCCTCATTAGGAAGGTAAACAATGAAAAGAAGGAGAAGTAGATGATGAGGGAGATAGGAGAACAAATGAGAAGCAGGAGGGAAATGGGAGGCCAGCTTTTAAAGAAAACTCCATTGCTCCTGACTCATGTGGTGTCCTCTCCTCTATCCGCTTTCCCGAAAAACAGAGGAAAGACAGTACAAGCCTTTTGGATTTCTCTCTTCTCTCTCCATCGCCCTGGGCAATCATGTTAAAACTCACATGGCTGGTGCTTATTCAGATAAACCTAACAATGCACACCAATGGTTACCATGTGAATCTTCACAAACCACACAAGAATGTGCTGGTTCAAATCCCCCTGACCCCCCTCCAAAGCAAAATTTATTCAAGGCAGCAAACTGTTCAGAAGCGTTATGAAAGCAATCGGTGCTAGAGTGAATTCGGTCTTGTATTTACAAATTAAAAATTAGATGCAGCCTCATCCAATAAAGGTTAGATCAGCAGTAAAAAGCCAGGAATGTGTAACCCGTTCTTTAAATTGCCTTCCTAATATGCATAGCTAGTATATGCATGCTAATCGAAACATAGAGAAAATATATACTCGCATGCACAAAAGCAGAAAATAACTATATCTTTAACTCCTTTATCCTAGATACTGCACTGACAAAAAGTCCCTAACAAAGTCCTTAGCATTTTGTTTAATTAATGCCCCTACTATTCAAAAGTAGTTAGCATCAAAAGTCTAGAAGGCGCTGACTCCCCCAACTCTTAATTTTTTTTTAACATTCTTAGTTTCTCATAATTCGTTGAGATTTCACATTTCATCTCTCATATTCAGAACTGCAAAACAAAGCCAGAACATCTGTCATCTCTTGTTTAAATACTGGCAATGTCCAAAAATACACATGTATTCATGAGCAGCCCCAAATATATTGTTTGAAATAAGTCTCATAAGATTTCATAAGATTTCAGCGAGATGAATTATCCATTTAAGCCCATTTAGGACTGCAAGCAAAGTGAGTTTTGTTTAAAAAGTAGCTCATTTTGAGGGACAAATGATCACAGTATTGCTCGTATACTAACAAAAGGCATGTCTACTCAAAAGTAACTTAACTCAATGGGACTTACTCCCAGGTAAGTATATATGGGAGGCAGCCTTTGTAGCCAGGTAAGTGTATATGGGAGTTTTCTTGAACTTGGTAGGATTTTAGAGCCAATACACATATCAGCAAATTAAAACTTGAACTTTGTTAATTAAAATGGTTGACAACTTATAATTTTACATTCTTTATAAGTTAAAAATAGCAGTTCATATGCATTTAAATAACTTATCTGGTTCTTGCAGAGTGAAAATATAAGCTTGTCGTTTCTATTGATACCAGCCTCACTTTTAATTTGAGTGAAAAACTGTTTTGGCCACAATGTTGATAGCTATATTGATTTCCACTTCCAAAATTTAAAGAAATAATTTCTGATCAATATTATGTGTCAGAGCAAAATCTGTAAAACGGCTTGGCTTTGTAATCAGTTCAAATTAGGGCAATGTTATGTAACCTCAACAAAAACACATATAGTTCTACAAACTCAGACTTTCTTATTCTGGCTTAAAGTGTGAATAATGTAGGCAGTTAGCATGTTGATACTATTTCTTATAGTTGTGATTATGTGCCGCCAAGCTGTCTCTGACCTATGGTGACCCTATGAATGAAAGCTCTCCAAAATGTCCTATCCTTGACATCTCTGCTTAGCTGTTCATTTCTTACAGTATCCAATGGTAAAGACTGCATGAAGGATGCAAATCCCTTTGACTTAAATGGAACATTTTAAAGCAATCTGCTAATATTTCTTGTTCACAAGAATGTAATAAATGTGTTTTTGAAATAGGTCTGATCAATTTCAGCTGAATTCACTTATACTTGGGATATTCTTACCATGTGTTACTGAAATTTAAAAATAAAGAAAGTCATGCACTGCCACCTTGTTACAGCAAATAAAATTGTAATTATTGGATATGAAACTAGTTTTCTATGTCCAAGTAGGTTTTCAACTTATTTAAGCAGCACTGTCTCCTTCCCCCCAAAACAAACAAACAAACAAAAACGAAACACTTTTGCAGCTAAGGGTTGTGAAGTCATAGGTATCTTCTGTTGAAGGAAAATAACCAGCCAATTTGTTACCATAGGATCAGAGGTAGAATCCTACACATGTCTGCTCAGATGTAAGTTTCACAGAGGTTTACCCAGTGAGGCATACTCCATGGTGAGTGGGTACAGACCTGCAGCCTAAGCTACTTGTATGAATCTATGTAGTCCTTCATACAAGGAAGTCCTTCATACATGTTACTACCCTTCCTGATACATTGACATCCTGTGTCATGGACACCAGCAAAATATATTGGACAATATCCAACTGTACAAGATCTCTTGTGTTTGTGTAATTATGTAAGTTGTATCCAACTAGCTACTGTCCACAGAAACTATTATATTGTATTCAACAGTGTACTTTCAGTTGTTGATTGAATTCCTCCTGTCCCTGCAGGCCCTCAATACTACTCCAGAGTGTTGAGAGGTCTCTGGAACAATATGGGGGCATGCAGGGAAGTGAAAAGGAAGGGAAGCTTTCTCTTAGGCAATGGACTGGCATTCTACTTGTGTAGTCATGGATAAAACCCATATTTTAATGATATACAGAGTTCTGGAAATCTATTCAGAATAACAATGTTTAAAAATGAACTTTTAAAGCAAAGTTTTTTCATCAATTGCATGCTTTTGTTTTAAGAGACGATGACTTTAGAAGAAGGAGCAGAAAAACATTGTAGTCAAGCAAAACAAAACACCTTCCATAATGAAAAGTTCTGTAGTTAAAAAAATCCCTTCAGTCTTGTCACAATAAAATAGACCTTGCACTTTTGATGAAAATTAATGCTAGTTTTGTAAAGAACACATTGGGGGATTGCAGTCAAAAGCCTTATCTCTAGTTCCAGTCAACTAGCAATCCTGAAAGAGTTTGCATCATCATCAGAGGAGGCCATTTGATAGGATTCTACTGCTGAACCTAATCAATCTATGGAATACTGTGGCAGCGCCATGTAACAAAGCTAAAATAGATTTACAAATGGGGTTTTAGGGGATAAGCTCCTCCACAGGATTACATATTGATTTTAAATATAAAAAGCTTATCATATAAACCATAACTACAAAAATAGTGAACCTTTGCATAAATCCTTTTAAGAAGAGCACCCACTTCAAACTTGAAGCGAAGAATAAATCAAGATGTACAAATTTCTAAAGCAGATCCATTCCTCGGACAGCAAAATGAATGCACACTGCCTCCTAAGGTGTGCAGAACATGAACTTTATCTTTTCTCAGGAGGCATTAAATTTGAACAAGAAGGGCAACACATGCAAGAGTCCAGAGATCCTCAACACTCAGCTGGTGGTGGCTGCATGGTTACCCTGTGTTTACATGAGACAACTTGATTCTACATGGGCTGAGAACTCCTTTATGTCTCTCAAATGCACATGAGATATAAACAACTTTTCTGACAGCTGTTTTCTAGCCCTTTTCATTCATGTAATGTAACTTTACTGAAAACTAGGCTTGTACGAAACCATCTGTCTTTTTGTTGCTATTATTTCCAATGACTCCTAAACCTATATTCAAAGGAACAGAGTAGTTGCTTGAATAGTGCAAATAAGGTCAGAGGTGGAAATGTTTATAATGACTGTGTTTAATAATTTCACCTCATCTTTAGGTTTTTGCCAGATTTCAAAATCTTGCACGTGCTAGATGAGGGTTTAAGGATGGGAATGCTCTTCTCACTGAAAACAAATGGACAGCATCTGCACTTGGATACACACTTAGACCCGCAATTCCCATAAGTAAGATCACCTGTGAGAGTACATGAAATTTTCCATATATATTCAAATCATGAGGTGAAAATACCAAGGAAAGCAAGCAAGCAGTATATAAAGCCTTTCTCTCCTCCTGTATTCTCACTGTGTTACAACATGTATGTTATAGTGTTGAATGGGAGGCATTGGGAATCCTCATGTGGGCAAGGTCAAAGACCAACTGGTCACAGCACTGTGAAAGGCTGTACTGTACAACACCATGTTGTATTAGCATAGTTACATTTATGTTGTGGATGGGCAACCCAACATACATATTCAGAACTTCTGGACTGTTCCGCTTTCAAACAAAATGTAATAAAGAATAATCTAAGTTAATCTTGGTGGTACAGGGGTAATGAAATAATAAAAAATCTAATGTCATATGAGTCTATCTTTGCTTGCATATTGGCACTCTCCCTTTCTCTCCTGCCCCTGCTGCTTCAGTTTCAACACACCCCAAATCTGCACGGGAGGGTTCCCCAATGTTCTGGCCTGGATATCGCCAAAAAGCAGGGGACAAGGAATCCTTCCTCCCTGTTCCAGTGGAAAAAATTCCACTGGTAGAATAGATTAATTGGCATTTCAACATATACTATCCAACTTTTAAAAAGTTTGTCAAATGTGTAGAACTGATATGGTTGTGACTGCAGTACAGAGGTTTACACCTTGCCCAAAATGTTTTCTTTTCAGAGGCCTTTATTGTTTCTATCTTTTAGAAATTAACCCAGTGTTAACTTCACAAGTGTGCTTAAAGAAACCCCCAAGCCTTATGTCACAACAGAAGACTTCAAAAGGACACTTTCTAGATGTCTGGTCCCAAAGTTTTAATTCTTTTGAAAATTTTATGACTGTAGTTGTCAAATCTTTCTTTAGAAAGCAAGGTTCCCGGTTTAGGTTTTATTCAGGATTCCTGTAGTTCTTGGGTTTTGTCAAGAAACTACAAAGAGGTGGATTAGAAAGCTACCTGACACCTCCTGCCTTTTCCTCCCAAATTCATGCTTTCAGTAGTGTCTCTAAACTAATTAGAATTGATTCATTATGGATCAGGTACCTTATCAGGTGAAGAAAGAAATTACCATGGATAGTCAAAGGGTTAAGAGGTCAATACAGAATAGCAAAATCAATTTGCATTGATTAGACAAAAGGTCCATTTTACAGAGCCCAGAGGATTAACTTTTAAGCAAACATCTTTGAACTGTAAAGACAGAATTTGTGGCTGAAAGGTATAAGTAGAACAGCTTTATAAAAAAAAATGGCATATTTAAATAACAAAATAAGGTAAAACAGTAGTTTAACCTATCTGAATGCTTACTTTTATTATAAATCATTCTTTGGATTACTGTACAGTTATTTAAAAGCATTATGAAGAGGATGCAATTGTTTAATTTATCCCCTATGTCAATCAGTTCATGTATTTTCATTCTGGTGAGGTGACTAATGTCTTAGGAAGCCACGGAGATTGAATAAAATATGTCCAAAGTATTGCACTAACCCTGTCACTTTGCCGGATGAAATATTTACTTGACATATGCATGATATTTTTATAATGAAGATGGAGGAGGTCCATCTAACATAAGTTTCAGATGTAAAAATAGTGAATCTGCAAATTATTCTCTTTTGTATTAAGGCAAAATTAATGTTGTGCCAAAGGTAATGACACTTCAGTTTAAATAACTGCATAAGTAATTATGTAGAACAAACTCATTCTGTGCTTTCCCAACCATTCCTATTTCAAGTTAATTTGAAGAGGGGCTATGAAGTTTCATTAACACAGATCTCTATGTTTACAAGTTCATATTTGGTCCAGAAATGGCCACAGTCTATTTTTCAATTATATCTAAACATCTGTAATTCTCACACAGAGACACATTTAATTTAAAACATTCTTACCTTCAATGGCAAGCATTGCTCTTAGTTCCCTGTTCAGCAGTTCATACCGCCTTTCTAGGTCATGCTCTTTTTCCCTAGGCAAGTTGCAAAAGTTTATCAATATGTTAATTACTAAATCATTAAGCACTTAAAAGAACCTTTAATTTAATTGATTTTTAAGAGTCATAACTGACTTTTCTCTTTAGGTTTAAGCTACTCTAAACAAATGATACACAGGAACAAAGCCTTGTTAGATAGAATTAGTGCTGCCAGATGTTCCTTGTTTTGAGAAATACCACTTATTTTAAAGGATTGTTCCTTATTCAAGTACTGGCATCCCCATTACAGCACCTGTGGATATTCAGACATCTCCCAAAGTTCCTTCCTCTTCCGGATTTTTAAAGTTATTAGGATTACCATTTTACCTTGGGGAGGCAAGCTTCAGCTTTCACCCACCCAGCTATATTTGTTTTTTTTCTCAGAATGTCTTCGGCCTCAAGTCTTAGAAAATGAAAGAAAGAAGGTGGGGCAGCAGGAGCCAGGGCTTTGCTTTCCAGAACAGCCAGTACAACTGCCATCTTTGTTTTTTAAAAGAGAAAAAATAATTAAAAAGGGACTTAACACTGTCACTGTTAATCCTTAATACCATTCTTAATTGCCTTTAAATACTATAGCCTTCCCAATATAAATATTAAATAGGGGTGGGAAACATCCAGATCCTGTTCCCAACTTCAGTCCTCCATTTTTTTCCTGGTGGTAGGAATAAAGCCTGTGGGGAGGAAGGGAGAAGGAATTGGTCCTTGGACTACCCAAAGTGCCTTACCCCTGTTATAAAATGTGTCCATTTAACAAGTTCATAAATTCAGAAATCAATTAAAAATTAACCAGCAATGGAAGCAGCAAATATAATCAAATAGGCATAACTGGAGTAGATTAGAAGTAAATGTGACTAATATGCCTATAATGAACAAAGCATGCAAATGTAGTGGAAATCTTCAGAGCTTGTTTGATGCTGGGATCACCAGAACTTGGGTATGCTGCCTATTTTCAGTGCCAGATGTCTTGACAGAGAATCCATATTTCCTCTGAGTAGATAGCCTCCATATATCTGGGCACAAAGCACAGGGATTCTGCCTCAGCACCAGAAATTAAATCTGTAATCCTCTTCAGGTTTAGACAGAAAAAGGCCTACAGCTCCCTGCAGGCTGTAGCCAGCTGGTGGGGCATGCTGGGACTTGTAGGCCCGTCCTTTCTAAACCCGCACAAGGCTGCAGTCTAAATCATTCTTGAAGGCAAACATTTCATAAATACAGAAGCCATGAAGAAAGTGCCAGAATGGCTTTGACCACCCTAAAGGCAAGTATCAAAAGGAACAGTGCTCCATTTCCACTGCTCTCATACTGAGTGAGTACTTGATAGATGGTGCAATGCATAACAGCAGGAACTTGCTATTTCTGAAAGTGTCTTATATATCGAACTAGCATTGCTCTATATTCCCTAGAGTAACACAGATGCACCTCAAGTTCAGTGGGATGGCTTTACTGTCACTGTTCAGCTGTTGACACTTTGGAAGGGTTTGTGTGACTAACTAAATTGCCCTTAGAATGATCAATGCAATGTGTGGTGTTCCTGTGGACAACCCACAAAGCGCCCGACAGATGGCTGTGCTCACTAGATGAGGCGGGACCCAAAAACCCAGGAATTTATTTATAAAAAATAGTGTATTTTTACATGTTCAAACTACAGTCACCTTCAAAGTACTCTCCGTTTGATGCAATACACCTATCAAGATGTTTTGTCCGCTGCTCAAAACGGAATTTGAACTTGTTGATTTTGATGCCTTTTAGTGCTTCTGCCGTTTTTTATTTCATCTCTGCCACATCAGCAAAATGTTTCCCTTTGAGGGCTTTTTTCATCCAGGGAAACAAAAAAAAGTTGCATGGGGCAAGATCGGGTGAATAGGGAGGGTGGGGCACAAGGGTCATGCCGTTTTTGGTCAAAAGCTGCTTAACACTGAGTTGAACAAAATTTCACTGCCGCACACTGTTTGTGTAAATCAGCTATCATGAAATAGGCAAACATGTTGAAAGCCTCTCCAAAAAAAAAAAAAAAAAAAAAAAAAAAAAAAAAAAACCCCCCGACAAAAAAACACAAAAAAAACAAAAAAGCCCTCACTGCCGCCATGCACAACCTCTCACAACAACCCAGCTGGGTACCCTGATGCAGATGGGCTCCTAGAACATTCACCTCACGGGGGAAGCCTCTACTGCAAGGGGCCCGCCCTCCAGAAGACAATTCCTGGTTTTTTGGGTCCCACCTCATACATTATTTCCCCTATTTTTCCCCCAATCCCAGTATGCATTCCAGGCACCTTCACAGTGGAATTTACACCCTACAAGCCCCTGTTCCCTCACCATGGTAGCAGCCTTTTTATGATTGGTCCCCTGCATGCTCAGGGTGCTTTGGCCTTGAGGCTCCCATCAGGAAGATTTCCCGCCCCTTTGCCCATTGGTCCCTATACTTGTGCTTCCACATAAAACCTGCAACTCTTCTCAGGCCCTTCTATGCATTTTATTTGCACCTGTTTGTGTTGCTTGTTACATTCATCCGGTCTTCTCCCTTCCACTCCATGAAGCAGCCCTGGCTCTCACTCTTGTCACCCTTTGCTCTACTCCATTACTCTGGGTAGTGGTTTATGTTGCAGCCACCACTGCCACCCCCATCAGCAAAGCTGCTTCTGCCCCCTTCAACCTTTGTTGCTTTAGATGGAGAAATCCCACTGAGCTCATGCATCAAGTCTTCCCTCATCCCATCTAACCGTCCAACTTTTGAAATGACTTTTCTGCTGAAGCTTCTCTTTTTACATCATCCATCCATCCTGTTTCCCCCTCAGGAAGATCACAATATGTTTATAATCTAAAAAAGATCTTTATTGTGTAAGAACAACCAAGCCCTACTTTTCATTTGGAAGGTATTTTTAGGCATTGCTTATGTAAGGGCTGATGATGGGGGCTGCTGGTTCTAAACTGGAAATGCAAGGAACTAGGCTATTGGCTTGTGGGATAGGGTGCAATTATAGAAAACTGGGATCTGGAGGCTACGTGGAGGGATGGTTATGCAGAGTCATGCTGTGCTTCAGCAGATGGTTATAGTTAAAGCATGATGCTTTATGGTGCAAAAGAAGGAGATATTAGTGTACTGTATTTTAGGAAGTATATGATAGGCAGATGGGAAAGGGAGTCACGTCCACATATATGATGGAACACATGCAGACACAGAGATTACTGAATAGAGGATTCCTAGCTCTTTCCCTGAGTAGTTGATGCTGGATTCAGGGGAAACAGTGGGGTTTCATTCACCACTGATAGTAGCAGTGCAGTCATTTTCAGCACTTGGCCCAAGAAGGTCAGGGTCATCCAGAGGAGATTAACATGGCTGAGGGTAATTGCTGACATTTTTCTATTTTGTTGTGTTAGGTGCCAGATACAGTACCCTAAGCCAGGGTTGAAGTTCAAAGGCCTGGTCACCAGAAAAAGGGAGTACACGGGGAGGAGGGGCTGGTAAAAAATTTCCCAGTGGCTCGCTTGTCTGCCAAAGGTGAATCCTACAAGACTGCTGGGTCAAGACTTCTTTCAGAAATCCCGGCACAAATGCTCACAAAAATCCCTTGGGAATCCCAACATTGAGGGACTATGCTGTAAAAGCATTGCCCATGTGGGGTAAAATTTGCATGGGTGAGAAATTCGGGATTCCCGTAGCCAGAGGAAAGCTGAGATCACACATGCCCATATTTGGAGATTATTTCTCTAATCCCTCATCTTCATGACACAAAGTTTGATCAGCACATACGTGCAGGTGAGCCAGAGCAGAAGTTGTGCTTTCTACTTATTTCTGCAGAAATAAGTGCTTCTTCCTCCATCTTGCCAATCTACAGGCCAAGGATGGAAGCAGCCACATATAGAGGGAGGAATGGGATGTACGCAGAGAAGAGGTATGGAAAATCGATGTGTCTACTTGTAATAGTTTACAAGCCACTTAATGGCAGAGGTAGATGCTGGCACCATTGGTATTGCAGGTTGGGTGGTGGGAGAAGGGGAAAAGTGCAACACTAGCTCTGAAACTAATACCACTGTTCATTCTGCAGCAGGGACCTGGGAAAAAAGTGAACTGGGATGCATGTTTACAAGGTGGATTAACAGGAGCAGAGGCCAAGGCAGAGAGAGTAAGAGGTAGTGAGAGTGAAAAAGGGGAAAACAGGATTTTGAGCACACGTTCAAGCTCCTCTCCTCCAGGCATACAAGGCAGCACCCCAGTCATAGAACTGGGCAGAGGAACGCATCTCTGCGAAGTGTTCTTCTGGGCTGGCCCACAAGCCTAAGCTGCAGCCAGGCAAGTGTGCTTTTCCAGTTCTGCAGTGCCCCATGGCTCCGGAAATGCAAGCAAAGGATCATAAGCAGGCCGTTCAGTCCCCCTCCCACTAATGAACTGACCAGGGCACTTTGCTGTCCATGTGTGTCCATGAAAGTGCACCTGGCTGTGCATGTCTCTTTTTCTTTCTATTACTAGACCCAAAACACAGGGGAAAAGCAAAGTGGCAGGGGAATGAAGGGGCAGTTGGGTGGCGGACATGCAGGGCACAAGGGCGACCAGAGAGATTTGGTAGAAGGCACTGAAGTGGGGCATGCAGGGCTGTGGCAAATACAGCAGCTGCCCATGGTGGCCTGGCACTGCTACTTATAATGTTGCTGTCTGGCTTCAAAGCACATCTGATCACCTGTCAGTGGCTGCATCCTGCTCCAGTGAGATCCGAAGCAGCTGTGCCTTGCTGCACCAACTTGCCTGATGCAGAGACACTGTTAGCAAATGTCTGAGCCGACCCCATAGTCAGTAGCCACTCAGTGGCCTGTCTTTTGTCTTCCTTCTCGTTCATTTCCTCGAGTACGGTATATGTGCACACTTCTGCCACTTCAGAAATGCTCACCAAGTCCCTTGCCATTTGTACCTGGTCAGTTTTACACTTGTTTCAGAGAGACAGCACCTGCTGAACTTTGGTTAGTGGTTGGTTAGTCTTCCCTGGGCCAGCCCCTGGCCCCTGGTGCTGCTTGGGTGCCAGCTACAGTTGTTGTGGTGGCTTCTCTAGATGCATCTACAGCTGCAGCCTCTTTAGGAAAGAGGAGTTGCTGCATGTGGTGAAAAGGTGCAGCAAGTTGATAGCAGGGGGTGGGGGGAGAGTAACTGTGCCTCCACCCTCACCTGAGACAGTGTAAGGAGTGCTGTCCGCTCAAGCTTGGTTCCCAGTTTTTCTAGTGGTTCACCTGTAGTAGGCAGGGAGTGCATTATAAGCATGTCCCAATCCACAAGATGGTACCCAGGCAGAGGCCTGCACACTTCTGGCGGAAGATCCCTGATGTCTTGGAAGCAGACTTACCTTTCCCTGGGAGGCATTTTCCTCAAGAAAGTACTTTAGGATGCTTTCTGAATGGCAAAAAGTCCTTAGTATTGGGGTGAGCAACCCTGGGTTCAGACAGTGTGGATGCTGGCCTGATTTATTTCCTGACATCAGACAGAAAATATGTTGGGCTGCTTGTACTGGAAGAGAACATTGTTGCTGAACTTTGCTAGAAGGGGTTGCCTGGCTGCTGGGGCAGGAGTGGTGAACTGGAAGGATTGGCTGTTGCTTCAAAGCAGGAGATTTTTGGGCTGTGCCAGGATTGGCGGGGTCTTAACATAGTCACTTTCAGGCCCTGCACAGCTTCAGCAACTAGGCATGATGGTCCATGTGATACAGAGCTCAAAACAACTTGATGTGCTTGTTACAGAATGGGATGGAGCACAGCTCTATCCCAGAAAGCTTGTTTTGAGTTGGGATTTCCCCAAACAGCTCCTTCAGGTCATGCAGCTTCTCCATGCACTGTGATAGAATGTGAGAGTAGCCCCATTGTAACATCTGCACAGAAAACCAAGAGAACAGACCCAGTACTTCTAGGCCTCTGGGCTTGCTGAGCCATCCATCCACATGCCTAGTTTGGCCTTAATACCGTAAAAGAATACTGCAGCAAAGAATGTGTCCAAATTCTCGCATGGTGCTTTCCCCCCTTGACTTGTCTGGAGCTCCAGATATCTTGTGACTAGACTCCTGCAATGGCTGTGTCAAGGGATCTTTAGAAATGAGTGGTGGCAAGGACTCATTGCCTGCCTGCTCTGTGGGATTCATGGTATGGTCCTGGAGCAAGTGAATTTAGCAAGCACACTTTGCAGGTTGCAAAAGGACTTGCAGCAACTGTTTCTGGGTTGAATAGTAGCCCCTTTCCCACCCAACATGGGAAAGGCTGTTATGAGGAACAATAGATTAAGGCTTCAGTGGTTGGAAGAAATTGATAGCAACTTTCCACCAAAAAGGGGTGGTGGTGGTAACAGTGGCTCCTATTTATTATATAAATGTGGTGCAATTTTGCATACAGTATCATGCTATGGGATTCTATGAAATGTCAAACTACTGCACAACTTTCCCTTTTCAACAAATACAGAATGTTAGCCTAGAAATGTCCTTTGCAGTAGGCAGGTAGAGGAAGGATGACTGTAAGACACAAAAGAAACTGGCAGCTCCCTGAAGATCACTGTGCTTATTATAGAGTGGGCCAAAAGTAGGTATACTGTACTACTTGGGTCATGGAGGACGTCACACAGTGGACAAATTGAAGGAGTTCATCTTGTGAGCATTTATCAACATTGGTGCTACCTGGAATTTGTGTCACAGTATTGGGGACAGGTTCCAGGAATGCTGCAACATTGATGGAAGATATTTTGAGTACCTAACAAACTAAACATGACCAGATTGGCACTGTATACCTACTTTTGGCCCACCCTGTAGATAGCTAGTTCACATGGGCAACAGAAAGTACTGTGCAAGCAAGTGAAGAAGTGAAAGAAAGCAGGGGGTGGGGGAGGAGGTTGCCAAGGAATGAGAGTGAAAGCAGGCTGTTGCACACAATACGTGGTTTCTGGGCAGATTTCAGGAAACAGTCCATACATCCGGGGGCGGGGGGTGGGGAGAGGCAGTGTTTTGGCTGATTTTGCCCAAACAGTCTGCAGATCTTTTCAACAATCCATGATAAAATTGCTCTCCCAGGTTCAGACAAGACATTCACCCTAGAACAAGCCATAGGTTGTGGAGATGACTTGTTGCTCCCAAAGAAGCCATTGCGTGGGATATGGATTAGGCTTGAATTACCAGCAATCTGTGGTTAGGTAACCATGATGAGTTTCAGTGTTATGTGAGCTCAGTCAATGCTTCTGTTTAATAAATATCAACTGACACTGCTGTTAAATGCCCAGATCCTGCATGGTTTCATAAACCATGGCTTATAAAGTTGGAAGCAAGTACTGAAGCTTAGTGCTCTTCTCTAGACCATTCTTTCATGCACCAATTCAGACCTTAGTTTCCAAGCCAGTGTTCTCTGAGATGTCTGAAATGTAACTTACCAATTAAGGATAATAAACTAGTTTAACCCTGAAATCCTGGAAAGCCATCGCTTGTCAATGCCCAAATAGCAGACCTAGTATGAACCAGCTTTTTATGTTGCTTACAGTGTCTAAACAAACTTTTTATCTATTTTTCAGTCCAATTGTGTATGCTATCTGGCAGTGGCAACTGCACAGTCTTGTCAAATTTTAGATAAAATGGGCCATTACACAGTAGTGGAAGAAAAATTTTTCATCATGGTCTCTGTGCATCACACACATATGGGGCTTAAGTGATAGTGGAAGGCCTAGCTTTTTAAAGTACTCATGCTATCCTACCTGCTGCCATCTTTCTTACATTACCTAGTATTTGAAATCAATTCTAATTGCATACTTTCCCTGCTTGTCATACTGACAAGACGTAGTTTAATTTCAAACCTATTGGCATATTTCCCTAATGCAAAGTATTTATTTACTCTTAATATGAAAACACTACATTTACTCTCCTTCCTTCTCCCTTTATGTTTGCCCATATATGCCACAATCCTAAATACATTTGATATAATCCAACTTCTAGATGGCATTGCACAAGCAAGGTGAATAGTGTTCTCCTGCTTCCAAGTTCCTATTCAAATCAATGGGAAGCCTAGGAATTGATGAGTTGAGGTTAGTTCCACAAGTACTCATTCATAAATCCTTCATGTCCTGATTCTGCATTTTTCTGCATTTTTTAACTCCACATGAAAATTTTGATCTCAAAATCTGAATTTCTAAACATATTTTATACAAAATAGGCAATTTAATTCATTTTAGTAGATATTTAAGGCTAACAACATCATTTTTGGAAAAGTGCACTATCTCAAGGATAACTGCATTCTTATCTTAGGAAGTGTAGATCAAGTCAGCTTGTATCAGAATTCTTCATACATACTTGGGTGAGGCCTGTCAACATGCATGACTGAATGTGTGTGTAGATCAGGTACAAACCGCTCACATGCAAAGGATCTATGAATCTTGGGATTAAGAGTGATTATGTAGCAACCAGTACTACTGATATATTTCCATGTTATGAATCCTAGTGTTATGTTTACAAATGTGTGCGCTTTATAAGTTGCTGTCTAAAATGCTTGAAAACTGAGTTACCAAAAGGTTCAAGAAGTCTGCATTACATGGTTTTTTGAAGGAAATAGTTTGAAGGCCTACAGAAGAGAAGTAAAAGGGTTAAAAACTTCAGCAATGTAATTGGAAAACTGGTATATATACTTACAGCAGAGAGAGTTGATTCATTCTTCTTATTAAGGCATTTTTCTTGTTGACCAGCATGAACCATTCTTGCATCATGGCTTCTTCTTCTTCAGTATTTCTTCCTATGAAGAAAAGAAAAAAGAAAAGAAAAGAAAAGAAAAGAAAAGAAAAGAAAGGTTCTATTATATGTAGTTACCCAAGACAATGTAACCAAATGATAAGTCTCAGATTCCTCTCTCATAGGTCAGAACACCATAAAACATGAATGCACGGTTCTAGATATAAGCTGTAATAATTTAAATAGTGTCTGAGTGGTGTACTATTTGGGTATCAGGACTTTTCAGCTTCCTTCCCACAGTGAAAAGTCTTTAAAGATGCTCCTAGCACTCAAGGACTGCTAAGGGCTACCACCGGAAGGAAAGCAGACAGCTCTCCCATGGGTGTGCATGTGGGCTGCTCCAGATCCTGGCCCACAGCTTTCAAGGTTTAGATGCCTGAAAGAAACTGCCAAACTCACATGTCACAGTGGTTAGACACCGATCCAGCAGGTGAACCCTTAGTAGTTAATACAGACAGTACGAAGATATGTGTGACCGGAATTTTTCTTTCTCCATTTTTATGCTTAGATTTATATACAGCCTCATGCTGGTTCACAATAAAATATCTACCCAATTCATGCTTCAAGGCAGATGAAATGGAAAAATAATGTCTCAGATATAAAATTTCAGGGTCAAACTTTCCCTGTTTGCTCCACCCAGCTTTAGTCCTCATCCAGATCACTTGTTTGCTATTTGACTCAGCAAAAACATTACTTATTGGCAAAGTGCTAAATGCCCTCCTACTCTCAACACTAAGCTCCCAATCCAAACTGGGCCTTCCACATCAGCTATTTGTGAAAGAAATATCCTGTTCTCAAGGGCAAATCTACATGTAGTCTGGTCCTTAGTCAGATATACTAGCATGCTATAACAACATGTCCATTCAGTAGGAGGGAGAACTATAGCTTACTGCTTAACTTCTCTTGTTAGCTACTCACCAAATTTCAACCAACTTAGATCTTCATGACTGAAAATTAGCTATTTTGTATGATGAGAGAAATGAAACATGTGAGTGACTTTACACCACAATGTTGGCCCAATAAAATATTCCATCATACTTCCATATTTATAATAAGTATCTTTGGAAAGTTGGTATTTCAGTATTTCAATAAATGATCATATAAGCATGAAGTGTAGTTTACTTTTAAAAGGAATTCTGCAATGTCTAAATTGTTACAGTGAATTAGGCCAAATTTCTGGTGCTGACGAAGTTGGGATCACATAATATAGTTATGTTGAAACAGGAATTTTAGATTCACCAAATTTTTGTTAAACCTATCATACATCCCACCCCACCCCACCCCACCCAACTAGCATATTAATAAACTTTGAAACACTCGGCTCATTATCTATCCCAAGAATCAGGCCAATGACTGAATTAGGTCAGCTGTCACACTCTTGTCATGACAATAAACACTAGGTGCAATCCACAATAATTAAAATAATGGCACTGATTTCTACTGTTATTAGTCAGTAATTACATAATAGGCATAAAGAAAGGTGCTAAATCAACTGAAAGCACTGACCATGTAAGTACAGCATACCAATGGGCTTTTATAAACAGCAATATATATAAATGAATGCAACTGTCCTTTTTGCTTTCTCTCAAATTCCCAACATTGAGTTCATCCCACTTCCATATCAATTTGGTTCTTTTAAATAAAAAATTTGCACAAAAATTCATCTACATGTATGAATTTTTAAAGCATTTTGCCTTAATATAATGTAATTTTAAAAGTTGCTGGTAGTTAAGCACACAATTATGTACATAGTTGCTCTGCATATATTCAGATTCGAATACATTTTTAATTGAAGAACATCTCAAAATTTGAAGATGTGAAAATATGGAAGGATAACTGAATTTTGCTTCTGGTATTGGTTCAATAGTGCAAAATTAGGTAATTTCTAATTAAAATGTGAACCAAACAAATTCCCGCCCCTGCATTTCTGCCAGTGTACTTCACCAATGACTCTTGGTTTAGCCAAATGTAGCATTTATCCCATTAAACAAAAGGCGTTTCTGGTGACATAAACAGTACCATTCTTTGCCTTTGTACACATAAGCAAGCTTCACTGAGTTCAGTGGCACTTACTCGGCAAAATGTGTATAAGATGGTGCCTTTCACTTTCAAAAATTTATTTGTAAATATGTTTACAGAAAACAAGAAGAGTAAGACAGACATTTTAAATTCAGGTTTTGGATGAGCCTTAAGAGCCTGTACTCATTGCAGGTAGCAATTGGGATGGTGGTAAAATTGGTGTGCCCACTGTCCCCACCACCAAAATGGACACGCTTCCCACGCCACTTGACTGAACCACTCGCACCCCATTATTAGCAGATGCCTGACTGGTGATCCAGGTCAGAACAACATCTTGTCAGGCCATGTGGACCATCACTACCATGCTGTTGGAGCCCCACTACCATTGGCTTCTCCACCAGGCTGTGGAATGCCCCCGCAGGGGTCACTTGCTTCAGTGGTGGTCATATTTTAAACAGCTAAGAAAGCAAGCAACACCTGGTGCTGGCATTTGACTAGGCTGGCCTGGAGCTGCAGCACCACACTGTGTGGCAGCCGCCCATAGACTAAGGCTGGTCTACAATGGGAGTGGCCTTATGCAGGCCTCCCCAAGCTCTTGTCTGTCCAGTTTTTGCAATATTTAGCCAAAGGACTGGCAAAGCCTTATGGGACTTAGGGCAGATATTCTGTGGCACCAGTAGTGGGCGGTGGCTGCCAGCAGGATGTGGGAAAGGTAACAATGGGGCTTGACTTTGCTCAAGTTGGAAAACTGGTGGGAAATGAGAAAAAGAAAAAGAAGCACCTTTAAATTCTGTCAAAGGCACTTCGTATCTTGAAACTAGTTTTGGATTAGTTCTCAGAGTATGAATTATTTCTTTCCTAATAGGAAAACTCATGATAATTCTTAATATTTTGTAAAATTTTGTAACTATAGTCTGCATTCCTGTAAAACATGGCATGCATTGATATGATAATATTTTGGCATGTAAAGCCTAGAGCATCATTGCAGGATAACAATGCTTCCAACATGGTAGTGGTACAAATAACAATAAGCAATAGTAATAACAATAAAGTAATACATAAGGAGCTCAGTGATTCTGAACAGGGCTCAAGAGCAGAGCAGCGGAACTCTCACTGCAGGCTCACATGGGTGGAAAAAATGTGTGTGTGTGAATATCTTTTAAATGCCCTTCTGCAAAAGCCATCAGGGAAATTATTTCGGTCAGCTCCAGTCCCATATGGCTGATGGGTCCAATCCAGGTCCATCTCAAGATAATGGACTTAGCTCTACCCCATCCTAGCATCTAATTAGAATACCCAGTTTTGGACCCTATGTTGGTGAGACTATTGCACAAAACAGCTTTCCATCTACCGAGGTTTCTGGTGGAGGAGATACCTCTGCCATATCCTAACTGCCTTCTCTGAGCAACACCATGGTGTTAGAATTGCACTCTAAGGCACTTTTATATACCTTGAGGCTGGTTCATGTGTAAAAGGGAACAATTGGTTATTTACTCCATGGTTAATCATGGTCAGACAGCACTAAATGAACATGCTGTCTCCTGCATACTCATTGTTATTACTTTCTGAACAACCTAGGAACACCCGGTTCTCGAGATGTTCTTCTGACATCTGAACCCAGTACACTGGCTTGTCTGGGATTAAACAAACTATGGGTTACAACTCTGATTTATTTAATCTTCAAAAAACCAGACTGCTGTGTTTGGTCAACACAACCAACTCAGGAACAGGCCTTCTTGAGTTGATTTGGAAAGTGGAAGGGGTGAGAGTTAGCACAGTCACTCACTCCCAAATCCATGGGCTGTTAACCAAAGTTTGCTTGATTCTGTAAATAAGGTACTTCTCTCAGTACTATTTTTAAGAAGCCTGTAAAATAAACTAGCATTGTCATCATCACATTCAAGGCAGGAGATTAAGGATGTGAGAAGAGTGGCTTGCCTAAGGCCGTCTACTGAGCTGAAATGAAGACTTTGTAAGTGACATTCACTACATTACTGCAACATTGATCTGAGTCTGTAATTTAAGGCACCTGGAACTCATAGATCCCACTGTAATCCACCAACAGATATTTCTTTTAACTGTGGAGTAATAGAAGTGGGAGGTATCAATGTACTTAATAAGAAGCTCTAACAGAGCACATATAGAAAGTGGTGGCATCACACTTTTCTCATATTGTGACTTTACGCAAGGCTATGTCGAAACTAGCTATATTGTGACATAAAAAGAGTCGACCAGGAGAGAATGATCTATTATATTGGAAGCAGTGGAAAGGTTAAGAAGAATGAAGAGACATGCAGATTTTTCTGTGGGGGTGGTTTCAGTACACTGGAGAAGGTAGAAATCAGATGGGAGGGAATCATAAACAGATTTAGAGGGAAAATGGCACACTGCAGGATCTTGGAGGCACAGGATAGAGAGGAAATTGGACAGTAGTAATGAAGAAACCACAGACAGATAGATAATAAATAGATTGAATAAATTTAAAAAAATGCAACTTAACTGAAGTCAATGATTTGTAACAGGATATGATCTAATTTGACTCCCCCACACAGTGTAGACAGCTATCCAGTTTTACTTGGGAAAGGATATTGCTAGATCCAACATTTAATATGCTATATTATATATACCATTATACATTAATTTTTTTTTGAAATAGAGCAATTCCCATGTTTCAAAACATCAACTGGTCATCTGCAAAGACTGGTGAAAGAATCTTCAATATGATTACATCCTTGTAAGTATCAGCAGTTAGTTGAGTTTCAAAACAAGATTACCATTCTTTGAAATCAGGCATGTATCTCTACTGCTTGATGTACAAACCTCCAGAAACTGGGGCAAAGTTTTGAGGTGCTGGGAAGAAGATACGTGATATACACAGCAGCTTAGAGAAACAAGCTGAGAAACAACCATGAAAAAAAATAATAAAGTTGCCAGCATGGTCAAAGTTTATATTTTGGTCTGCTAGACTGTAGGGTGAAAACAGAA